CATATATTGTATTTCAACATTTTATTTATCCAAGCTTCTCCTTGCCATGTTTCACCCCATTTAGATATTGTATTTCAACATTTTATTTATCCAAATCTCTCCTTGCCATGTATCACCCCATTTAGATATTGTATTTCAACATTTTATTTATAGAAGTTTCTTCTTGCCATGTTTCACCCATTCATATATTGTATTTCAACATTTTATTTATCCAAGCTTCTCCTTGCCATGTTTCACCCCATTTAGATATTGTATTTCAACATTTTATTTATCCAAGCTTCTCCTTGCCATGTTTCACTCATTTAGATGTTGTATTTCAACTTCTATTCACTTAGATATCAGATACTTTTTCTATTTCTCTATTTTATTTTAAGTTTATTTCCAGGATGCTTGTCTAGTTGTTTACAAAAGTAAGATCCAAACAACCATAAAGTCTCTTCACCAATTTCTTCTTCATCATGATTTACAGTTCAATTAATGCCTGCTCTATAAACCTTTTAAGGGAGTATTTAACTGCATTGCCTGTAATGAAATTATTTTCTTGCTGAGGATTTATCTTCAGATTGACAGTGTATGCCAGTTAATTATACAAGTAAATGTAGGGATGGCTAATATCAGTCCTTCAAAACCATTGCAAACAAGATAGTAGGGATGGCACTTGCATCACCCCTACATAGTAGCACAGGCACACATCATAGTAGAATGTTAACAGAAAAAATAGGATGAATTGTGATTGAATAGTTATATTTATTGCTTCATGTTAAGTCTTGCCTGTGCTATTATGTAGGGATGATGCAAATGCTGCCCCTGCTATCTTGTTTGCATTGTTTTTGAAGGATTAATATTAGCCTTCCCTACATTTATTTCCTTTTTTTGAGAAGTGTTTCTTTACTTGTTTGATTGTTATTTTTTAATGTGGTATTTCAATAGACATAGGAAGGTTGTATTTATAACCAAGTTCTAAATACAATGAGGTTCCAACTGTAGTATTTATTGTTTATCTAGTATTGGCTGGTAATTCCTGTTTCACCCTGTACATTAGCTTTTTGGAGGAACACCAAAATTCTGTAAGAAAGCTACCTAAAAGGGGTAATAATTACATCATTTGCACTAGAATTATGATTTTGTTTTTAAATCACGACTAATTATTAATAATACTTATAAAAGCAGATACTCCATTTGAAACTATGTCACCTTGGTGAAATTGGTTGACACCATTGGTTTGGTTTTTGAGTTATCATGTAATAAGAAGCAGAAGAAAGAAGAACAAGAAATTCAAACTTGTTGCTATGATATTTATAGACATTCACAGTCATTACATAGATATTGTTATACAAGGAAACACTGTATAGTATTGTAAAGTTCTGATGATCTGTTAAGGAGATATTTAAAATATCATTTTGATTAACAGTCTGAACCACCTCTACATAGGCAGTGCTACTGTCTGCCTGATACTTGCATGGTGTCTCTAGCTAAAAATAAAATGACCCAAAGGCTACAGCCAATTCCAAGTGTTGTCTCTTCTCTTCAGATCAAGGAGAGGCTTGAACTTTTGGACTACATATTCATTCTGTTGTGATCCTAATGTCTCAGCATAGAATGTTATTCACAAGTTTCTTATGGTTATATAAATTATAGTTTCAACCAGTTATAATATTTCAGTTTTCCTACATGGCTGCTCTCTGGATGTTATTATACCAATTGACATTTTCCTAATTTCACTGTTTTATCATTTTTTGTCTCATAATAATTAGTTCTCTAACCAGTTCCCTAATTAGGCTATTTAGAAATATAGAAATTTTTGTTTTCCCATATTATTCAATTTCACAATATTACTTTCCTAAATTAATGTATTTTTCTACTTTTTGATAAAGTTTTTCTTTTTCAAAATAATTTTTATCCCACATATTATTATTGGGACTAGGTTTCTTCATTCAGTAATGCCATGTTTTGATTTCAAAGTTTCATCCTGGGGAATTTTTATACGTTATTGCACACTCGCAAAGACACAAGATTTGTCACAATTCATATTTGTCCGAGTGAATCATTTTTCTCCACAATAATAATAATAATGTTTGTAGACACCAAGAGTGATGATGAGTTCTACGTATATTTTAACTTTTTAGCAGAATTGTACTGCATATCTTCGTTAAACATTATATTTAGTATGTGTTTGTATGTACATCATCAGTTTGTTAAGACATTCGACAGGTTTTTTTTTATCTTAAGTCTGGGATCTTAAAATTCATACTTTGTTTGTTCCACTAACTGTCTTTGAAATATAAATTCTGCAATCAGTTTATAAATTAAATACTTGAGGATGCAATTTCTTTTAAATATTGTTTAATATTTTAGTTGTATGATGCTTCATTTTTCTTTAATTTCCCATACTTTTTCCTTATAATTGGATAAATAATTTATCTAGTTTCAACTATTTAAATTAGTTTTTGTTTTTCATTTTTGAGTTTTGTTTATTTATTTATTTTTATTTTTTCATTCTCACTTGCACTCCTTTTCAGCAAATTTCTGATACAGAGAGTCTTGCAAACTTAGTACCATCTATCACGAACTCTAACTTTTGTCCTGATCGTCAGCTATTAAATGGACCTATATCTGTCAATATGATGGATTTTCTTCCTACAAAAGTAGATTTACAAGAAGAGTTGCTTGGTGTAGGTCTTTTAAAAAGATCCGGAGATGGGCAACTTCAGGCTGAAGAAAACTCTAGTTTGACATACAGGTGTTTTTCCAACCAGGATAGAAGTAACAGTGATTCCTGTAGCACTTTAAACATTCTTTCCTCAGAAACAATGAAAAGTTTGAAGCTGGATCTGGTCAGAATAATGCAGGGCATGCACAATGACCGATCTAGTCAGTACATTCAGGCTGGTGGTTCAGACTCTGTCTTGAGTCAGAGTCCCCAGCATGACTCGGCTACCATCTGTACAGGAGTTTCAAGTCAATCTCTCTCTACGGCTCATTATACTCCTTCATCTCCAGATGTGAAAGAAGCTGAAACCCAGACAGAGCAATTGTTGCACAGAAATGTTGCTGCCAGTAACCAGTTTTTTGTACCAAACAATAACAGGCTTGAGAAAACAAGAAGTGAAACAGCCCTTAATTATTGTCAAGGTACTACAGATCCATGTACAGATAAAGGTGTATTGGGCATTACCTATACAAGGCCTAGCATACAACATTTTTCTCAGAGTCTTAATAATGTAAATATAGAAAACCTCCCTCATCTGGATACTTTAGAAAACATCAGGCTGCCCAGGAGTTCAAGTGTAAACTCTTTTTCAGGATTCAACAATTCAGTTGAATTAGGACGTAGTGCATCTTTGGGCAAGTTTCCGGTAAGAAGCTGAGTTGTTCGTACGACACTGTACACTACATAAAACTGTTTTCTTCACTCTCTCTCTGTCTACCAAAATTACTATCTCAGCCTTCTCTATCGTGGATAGCAGTTGCAGTAACTAACTCATGAAGTATTTATGTAACCATTCTTTTCCGAATTAAAAGTACATAAGTAAAGCTATTATCCTCTCTTCCTTTTTGAAAAATGTTTGTATTTATTTGTTTCTTCTACTAAATGATATAAAGTAAAATTGTCAGTATAACCTCTTTTAGGAGGTTATAACAAGCTTATTAACTGCTATGCTAACTTGTCAAAATGTTATCTTCAAACTGTGCCATGATATACTGCCCGAGTTATCATCCCTCACCTTAAGTTTTTGTTAACCCTTTCATCGCAACTGGGACATATATTTCCCAGTGCTGACGCCTCCTCACACTGCGACTGGGACAAATGTTTCACATTGTCATTCAAAATTGCCATGTGTGACGTATGGGAGTAAAATGAGTTGAAAAGTATTTATTTGCATCCCACCTAATGTTGAGATGTGTTTTCCCTCAATGTTATCCACTCAGCCCTTCAATAACCAACAAGATGCCTAAGTGGAATGTATGACAACTGCATGCTGACCATGCCTGCATCACTAGAGTGGCGAGTAGTATCCCTAATTACTCTGTAAATATGCTTGACTCATATAGGTTAGAAGTTATGAAAGTGAGACAAGTGGTGTTCAAATGCATGATGATGAAGAGGCAATGAGACAAGAGGATGTTAGCTCTCCATCTAGTGATGATAGTTAAGATGATGAATCTGGACCCAGCAAAGAAAGGGATAAACAGTATCAACAGTGGGAAACATTTGGTGGAAGCACTGAGAATTATATGTCCCAGCTACTGTGAATGGGTTAAATTGCAGTAATGTTTATTAAAGTTGATTTTTTAGTTCTTAAAAAGTCCATTTATTTTGTTTCTTTTTTGCATAAAATGCTGTTTTATTTGGTTTCATATCCATAACAGAGATATTGGGTGTCAATATTTTTTTTATTGTTAATTCTCATTATGAACAGAGAAAATTAAAAACCAAGTGTTGTAGATTGTATAAACACACAATAATATGGAACACTGATCTGGGAAAAATTATATTTTTTAATTTCTCTGTACCATTTAGCAAAATGCCACAATAATGTTTTAAAAACATTGAAATAAGGTCTTTGCTGTATTCATTCTGTTTAACAAAAATTAACATTTTCTTAGATGTCTGTATTAAAGTTCCTCATCAAGTTTAAGTAGTCAAAAGGTTCACTCAATTTATTTATCATTTTCACTTACCTTGCTCAGGAATGGAAACTATTAGAATGTGTTTGCCCTTGTATATACTGAGACACACAAGTAGATGGATTATTGTATAATCAGGTTTTTCTTGTCTTGAATAATTGACGATAGTGTTGGAAGAAATGGTGCCTAATAGAAATTTGTATACAATATAATGATGAAAGACGCTTCCTTTACTTTTATACCATTTCAATGCATCACTAAGATATGACTAGGTACAATTAAATAGTTAATATGTGATAAAAGTTTTTTTGTTTTTTCCACAGAGTGAATTAATATGTGATGAAAATGATTCCAAACAAGATGTTGACAGTGATAATTTCCTACAGAATCTACTTGTGAGGTAGGTTGGTTGGTTCTTTTCTGCTCAGTGGTTGTCTTAATATTATAGTATTTTTGTTGGTTTGCTATTTTAACATAAAAATATACACAAGATTTGGTGGGCATTAATAATTACTACTTTTTCTATACAATAAAGTTAATTAAGAAACTACCCAGTTTCCAGTTGAACAAATGTTAGAGAAGGGATTTTAAAATAATTAAATTAAATTAAGAGGCAGTTGAGGAACGGAGTGCATAAAAGAAAATAATGTTTAACATGTGTGACTTAAATGTCAAGCACTGTAAATTTTTAATTTGTTATCTGTATCAAAGTTGAATTTTTTAATAGTAATGATATTGTAATGTTGAATATTTTATGTATTATTGTCAGGTTTTGTTTTGGGCTAGATTTTTTTCAGTAGGTGTCTGTGACTTCTTGGCAATAAATTTCAATAATAAACAAACAGCACACAGTCTAGTTGTTTTAAAATAATATGTTCAAACAAGTCAAATGTATGTATAAATGTTTGTTATACTGTTGATTATCACCGTTGTATCCAGAGCTTTAAATAATTCTTTTTTTTTGTCAAAATACACACAGTCTGGTGCAGTTACTTAAGAATACAATCTATAAGACAAATTATTCTTCTCTACTCTGTTATTACAATACAATCTGTGATAATTCAACCTTCAAAATTGCCACTATATGCTCTTTATGACTAAACTCACAAACACACAGCCTAGATCTATTGAACTAAATTCTGACACACATTTATACCTTGACAGAGATCTAGAATGTTCCACACACTACTAAATATCATGATGCAATAATGTTCAATTAAAACAACGAGAAAACATGGAAGGTTTTAGTAACATAATGCAATAATATAACAATCACCAATTCATAACTATTGAACCCTACAGAACGTGTGATTTGTAAACAGTTATGTAAACAAACCTGCGATAAACTATCATTAAAAACAACTAAAATTTAACATTCACTCTATATAAACTATCTAAATCATAGCACTCATATTAAACTTTTCTCACTACTCAACAACTTTTTACTGACATACATTATGGGAAACAGTCCATCTACATGTTCATGCAGAAGTGCTGCTCCAATTCCAACATTTAATGCATTGGCCTGAATGATGAATGGTTTGTTAAAGTCTGCCATTTTAAGGATTGGCAAACTTCCTAACATATTCTTCAACTTCTGGAATGCTATCTACAGTGGTTGTTCCCACTTCACCTTGTTGGGTTGGCCTTTATTGATCAGTTCAGTCAGTGGTGTAGTGACTTCAGTGTGGTTTGGGATGAACTTTCTACAGAAAGGATCTGACTTGCTGCTTGGTCGTTAGAATTGGTGCATCTTGTATGTAGGTTAACTTCTCCTCTTCCATGGCTATTTGTTTGTCACACACCTTGTGTACAACAATGCCCAGCACAGAATAATTGATGTAGCACTTACATGGTCTGATGGTCAGACATGCTGCCTTCACTTGCTCAAATAGCGTTCCAACTTTGTTCAGGTGGTCTTCCCATCAAGCTGGGTGGGTCAGAATGTTATCTGCATTATGCTCAGTGTTGGTGGTTTTGTGCAATATCTTCCTCATCATGCAGTTGAATGTCGCTGCTGAGTTGACTACCCCAAACAGCATCCATCTAGTGTCCCAAAGGCTGCCTTTTCTTTAGAGTCTGTCTTCACCGGGATCTGCCAGTAACCTTTACTGAGGTCAATCTTGGCCTTGTCTATTTTTGCCATGGTAGCCTCTGAGTTTCCCATAGGTTTGAAGTCAAACTTTGTCACGAAGTTCGGCTTCCAGAAATCTATGTAGAAGCAGTTTGAGCCATCCCCCTTCTTCACTATTAACACTGGTAAACAGTAGGCTGAATTCGATTGCTCAATGATTCCAGCTTCTAACATTACCTTGACTTCTTGCTTGATCAGGTTTCTCATAGCATAGGGCATCTGGTATGGCTTAACTGGATTCCTGGTCATGGTATCAATCTTGTGTTGCACAAGGTCTATCTTGCCTGGTCTATTTGTGAAAATATCTGTGTACTGGCATAGTAGATCTTATAGCTCTTTCTTCTATTTGCCAGTCAGTTCTTCAGTGATGTTGACATCCTTGTACATCTCATCTTCTTCCAGCGGTCTCAGGTCTAGTAGGTGTTCATCTCCTATGATAAAGTCCCTGTCTCCTGGTTCTGTGTTTAAGACAGCTACACCTGCAATGTCCATCTGTGCTTTAATAGCTGCACCCGTTAGGGTTTTTCCGTCTTGGAGTACTTGTTCAACAGATTTTCATGGTAAATGGCTCTTCTATGAGAGGCATCTCTCCCAGTGGCACTGTGGCTACTTCTTCACTTCTAGGTGTCCTCCCACAATTGAATCATGAGCCAACTTCATCACTTGAGTCCAGTATTCCATTAGAACTATGATCTGTTTAACTTCCTGTCACTTTCACCTTATAGTCCTCTATGTTGACCACTTCCTATACTTCAAAAAGTCCTTGCCACTGCAGGGTGAATTTGTTGTTGTCTGTAGTAGCAGAACCAAGACCTTCTGTGCGACCTTGAAATGTTGATTCTTGGCCTTCTTGTCATTGAAGTGCTTTTGACTGCCTTGAGCTGCATGCAAACTTTCTTGAGCGAGTTGATAGGTCTCCTCCATTTCTCAGGTCTAATACGTACTGGAATAGCCCGTGATTTTTAGTTTTTCTAACCAATGTCATAGATTACATGTTCATATTCTTATGGGAAAACCATTATTTTTTCAATGTCTAGTTGGTTTCCAAGATTATGGCTCAACATGTATATCTAGAGGTTAAACATAACATACTGGACTACTTCTAATTTTCTAATCAAAACGCAAGATTGATTGTTAACTAACTAGTAGGTGTAAATTAGAAGTAGTCCAGTATGTTATGTTTATCTACTAGATTGTAAACAAACAAACTTTTATTCTGATATGTAAATTAGAAGTAGTCCAGTATGTTATGTTTATCTACTAGATTGTAAACAACCAAACTTTCATTCTGATATATAAATTAGAAGTAGTCAAGTATGTTATGTTTAAAACTTTCATTCTGATAGTTTGTTTACAGTCTAGTAGATAAACATAACATACTGGACTACTTCTAATTTATGTATCAGAATGAAAGTTTGGTTGTTTACAATCTAGTAGATAAACATAACATACTGGACTACTTCTAATTTACGTATCAGAATGAAAGTTTGGTTGTTTACAATCTAGTAGATAAACATAACATACTGGACTACTTCTAATTTATGTATCAGAATGAAAGTTTGGTTGTTTACAATCTAGTAGATAAACATAACATACTGGACTACTTCTAATTTACATATCAGAATAAAAGTTTGGTTGTTTACAATCTAGTAGATAAACATAACATACTGGACTACTTCTAACTTATGTATCAGAATGAAAGTTTGGTTGTTCAGTAATTAGTAGGTGAATATAAAATACTACATTTTTTTGTAAATTATAGACCTAAATAAATATTTACCCATTTTTTCTCAGAAGTTGCAGTTTATTTATAAACCTAATTGCCCAATTTCTTTGAACGTGTTGTGTGTTAAGGTCTTCTTGTTTTACTTAATCTCTTTTCACGTTTGTATTATTTGTCAGTGTTTGTTTAGGAGCTTATTTAAACTTACTTTCCAATAAGAAGAACATTAGTAGAAATCAACTTTGATCTTTCATCTGTGTGCTTTAGTACTATATTTATTCTTCTTTCCTCCATAACTGATTCACAAGTGACTTCCTTTTATTATCTACTTTTATTTTCAATTCTGAAATACAGTAAATGTATATTAAGTGTAGCATAGCTCTTCAACATATCTCCTTTATGTCATTCCACTAAGACTTCTCCATGTTGCATTTGAAGCTTTTTTTTTTAGGATAATTTTTCGTTTATACTGTGCCAAGCCGATTTTGAAAATACCTCAGATTCTTTCTTTCAAATCCTTCCAAGTGTATTCCATAAACTTTAAAATGTTTTAGCATGTTTTGTTAACTGGTTTCACTTGCACATAGAAAGGGAGAGAAAAACTATTTTTTCACTGGAATCTGCTTCTCCATATTTCTGCAAAAAATAAATTGCTTCAAGAGAGTTTCCTGGTTCGTTTCTTGACTTAATGTTTGATATGACATAAATACTATAAATTTTCTAAAGCATTTTCCAGTTGGTTAAAAAAGTAGAATATTCGGTAAGTAGTAACCAACTGTAAAGTCCAACAAATTTTTGTGAACTGTGCTCACTAAGACCCAATATTTTTATATTAAAGTACACCTGAATCTTTGAGACAGATTCAATCGTACTTAGTGAAATATTGTGAACAGTTAAGTTTCTAAAATGTAACAAATGTATAGCAAACCCTTCATCATTTCAGGAAGCATTGATGTGATGCAAGACTTTTTTAAGTTTAAAGATTTAAAAAATCACCCAGAAACATTTTACATCTGGAGAGGAGGAATAATTAAGTTATGCACATGAAATATATAAGACAAAATATAAATGTAATCCTATCTAATAACTGATAAAGTTAATATGAAATATTTTCCATAATATTAAAAGCAATTACAATTTCAACATCCATCTTCTTATGGTCATTTTGAATTTTAAAAATTTGTGAATTAAAGATAATCTTGCTCTCATAAAATATGCATTTTTTCAAAACAGTAAAAATGTTTCTTTGAAGTTTTTAGGCTTGTGTAGACTGTTTCTTCTTGTTTGGGAATTGAGTGTTGTTTTTTGTTTAACTTTACAGTATAATATGATGTTTTTAAAACTGTATGTTATGATGAAAGAAAGGAAATGTTTGTATAACGGGTGACAACTTTCTCTCATGTAAAGTTTCAAGATATTGAAAAATATTTTTACTGTTACTTGTTTTAATTTTTGACAAAATAAAGACATAGGATGATAATATCTTCAAACAGGCAGAAGCAAGAGCGTGAAGAGTTAAAGAAAAGACACCAGATGGAACTAGAAACTTTTAAACATCAGAGAAAGCTTGCTTCTCCCAGAGTTGGACATAAACGTAGTGACAGTGCTAGTGCAGTATATCCACATAGAAGTAACTTACAACTTGGTAATGGTTTTATTCAGAGTTCAAGGCACCAAATGATTCAACCTTCAAGTTCTTCTCAGCAAAGTATGTCTAGATATGATGGACAGTGGTCATGTCAAAGTCCAAAAACTCCAGATTTAAATATAGGGTCATCAGTAGAGCCATACTACCTTCCAATTCAACATTTTTGTAGCCATAGCACGATCCCGATCCGGCCTTTACCAAAAGCTTGCCCATATCTTCCTCAAACCAGCAATATCCCTCATTTCAACAGAAGTACCCCTGGAAGGGCAAGATTTGAGTGGGGAGGATACTTGTATTCCCGGCCAGTACAGCGCTCCTCTTCCTATGACCACTTATTTGCTTTTCATCCAACTAGAGATAAATCACCAGCACCAAAACATGGTACATTTACCCAAGACTTACAGAATCCAGTTCAAAACATGAGAGGCAACAATGTTGCTCGAAACACCCATCACATAATTGGAAGTATTGAATCAAAGATGACTCTCAACCAGATAAGACAACTACAGATGCAAGAAGTTATGAAGGATCAACATTATGTTCCTACTGGCTACTTCACACCACCCCCTCAATCACCTGTCAATAGCCCCTTGTCATCCCCACGCCATACTAGAGGAATTCCCCAACTACAAAGAACACTTAGTACAGGGCTTTCAACTCCCAGCATTCCCTTGGGTGTTTATATCGGTGCAGGCGATTCTAACCAAAACTACTATGGTTTCACTTAGTCACTTCAATCAACAAACTTGGTTGACTACTGCGTCAACTTCTTTTTTTAGGACTACCACATAATAATTATAAGCACTCCAGCCAGTAACTACTTGTACTGCTTCCACTATTACAGCTTAGTTAAAAAAAGCTAATAAAGTGTAAGATATTCTATTTAAAACCTTTTCTTTATATAATATAAAGCAAAATGTGATTTTGTTATAAGAGAATTTATTACAAAATATTTTTTTATATTTTGCTGCAAAAGAAAATTGTAACTGTATCTACTCAATTGCTTTTCTTTTTCAGTCTTAGTCCCTCTGTTCTAGTATGTGTTATAAATGGCTTAGGCCCTCTGTTCTAGTATGTGTTATAAATGGCTTAGGCCCTCTGTTCTAGTATGTGTTATAAATGCCTTAGTCCCTGTTTCAGCCTGCATTATAAATGCCTTACTCCCTTTGTTTCAGCCTGCATTATAAATGCCTTAGTCTCTTGTTC